TTGATTGATCGATTGATTGATTGATTGATTGATTGATTGATTGATTGATTGATTGATTGATTGAAGGTGCTGGATGAAAACGACAACGTTCCAATCTTTGAAGACGTTCCACAGAATTTAGAGGTTCCGGAAAATTTGATGTTGTCAAAATTGCTGACCCTAAAAGCTCATGACGCCGACGAGGGTATGAACGGACTCGTTGAATATCTTCTGGACGACGAGACTGAAATTAGGTCAGGTGACTTTTGATTTTGTTTTCATTTTCATTAACGTCATCATCATCACTTTTTATCATCATCATCATTGCATCATCATCAATCAACAACATCAACAACATCAAACAACAACAACAGCAACAATAACAACAACAACAACAACAATAACAACAACAACAGCAGCAGCAGCAACAACAACAACAACAACAACGTCATCGTTAAACCAAAACATACAACTCCCCCAACTTTAAGATACGGATCAGACTTCGTACTAGACAGGCAGAGTGGAATCTTGAGTTTGAGGCGACATTTGGATCACGAAATGTACAACGTGGCAATTTTGAATGTTCTCGCCAGAGATCACGGCAGTCCCAGTTTACATTCATCCATCCCCATCAAAATATCCGTTGTCGACATTAACGATAACTCACCGGTAATAACATTGGCACACGAAATTTCGGGCCCACAGGCTGTTCTAGGGATGTACCGATATAACGAAGATGAATACCTAAGCGGTAATCTGACGGCGATAATCGATTTACCGGAAAATTGTAAGAACGGAAGTGTTGTGACGTCATTCGTCGTGACGGATCGAGATTCAGGAATGAGTGGGTTGATTCGGTGCTCGGTCGATTCCAAGTATTTCACGTTAGATCACTGTACTTTTTTCAATCTGGATGTTTAAGATTTTAGTAAAAATTTGAAATAAACCCATGAATATTAACTTTAAATTTCACCCCCGAAGGATTCAAAAAGTAGCCTTTTCAGGAGAATACCGACTCGTTACTCGCTTGAAAATTGACCGAGAGCAGCAAGACCATCACCTGGTTACGATTACTTGTAGAGATTCGGATACTTTAATAACATTATCGTCGTCCATTCGAATACTTATAAGTATCTTAGACCTAAACGATAACTCCCCAGTGTTTGATAACTGCCCCGAAGTTTTAAGAATTTATGAAAATAATGCCGCAAATATGACTGTTAGTTTTGTTCACGCTCATGATGTTGATCTGGTTAGTGCATTTTTTAAGTATTGTTTGTTTGTTTGTTTGTTTGTTTGTGTCTGTTTGTGTGTGTGTGTGGGTGGGTGTGACGTTAATTTGTATGTATGTCTGTCTGTATGTGTGTGTTTATGTATGTATGTATGTGGTTTTTTTTTGTCTAAATATTTCATGTTACTTAATGTTGAAGTTCAAAATTCCGCACTCCTAATTCGTTGTGACGTTAATGATTTAATCATCACTCGTGTAGGTAGCTATTTGATTTTTGATTCAATAAAAATTATCCACCGATTCGATCTACTCGTTTATTTATCTATTTATTTATTTATTTATTTAAATTTCCAACCATAACAACTCCACAATCGAACCATTCACAATAAGAACAACAATGAAACTGTGGAGTACTATATAGAATCATCATCAAACAGCAACAACAACAACAACATCAACAACAACAACAACATCAACAATAACATCAACAACAACAACAACATCAAAAATGACGTCATCAACACCAACAAAAACGACAACGACATCAAACAACAACAAACGGAAACTGAAAGCGAAACCGTTTTCCAGGTCGACAAAAGCACCGGAATTATAACAACGTTAAGGTCATTTGACAGAGAGAAAGATGACAGATATAGTATCATTGTAGTTGCCAGAGATATCGACAATTTGCAATCGAGTTGTAGTGTTGTTGTTGAGATTTTAGACGTTGAAGATTGCAAGCCTTTTTTTGAGAGGGCTAGGTTAGGAGGAGGAGGGTGGGGATGTCGTTGTTGATACTGTATCTTATGTTGTTGATACTGTATCTTATGTTGTTGATACTATATCTCATGCTGTTGATACTGTATCTTATGTTGTTGATACTGTATCTTATGTTGTTGATACTGTATCTCATGCTGTTGATACTGTATCTTATGTTGTTGATACTGTATCTTAAGTCGTTGATACTGTATCTTAAGTCGTTGATGTTGTATCTTAGATTGTTGATTTGGTATCTTATGTCTGTGTTGGGGTTGTTTGCATTTGTTTATCTATTACTAAAGCACCATAGTTCGTTATTTTGATGGGTTATATAAATAATTATTAAGTAACCAATCACGACCATTTTTCAGGTACCACTTTCATTTAAGCGCCTCCCACATACCGCCCTTGCATTCCTATTGGCCAAGTTCAAGCCCACGACGACGACTCAGCGGCCAATAACTTCGTGACATACTCAATAGAAGAGCAATTTTTATTATTAAAAACTGAAACTGAAAGTAATTTTTCTTCGTTGAATTTCACGGAATTTAAAAACGAAAGTGAAACGAGTACTACAGCAGAGGCTATCTACAATGCTGCTATAAATAGCATGAACAATGACAATAACAAAATTAATGATAACGAAAGTGACGAAAAAATTACGGAAAAACCAGGTTACGTCAACGTTTCTAAAAATAAAATCAACGCTTTCGATATTAAGCCAAATTTTGGGATCATCTACACGAAAACGGCTATTAATAGGCAGGATGGACTTTCCAAAAGTTATTATCTATTGAAAGTATCCGCCAAAAGTGGAATTTCAGTGGTGGAAAAAGTTGAAGTTGAAGTAATAATCGAAATAAAATTTTTGGCCGGAAGTAGTATAATTAGTGGTAGTAGCGATGGTGTAAGTAGTAGCGTCCTTAGTAGTAATTATGATGGCGGAGCTGGTGGTAGTGGTAATGAATTAACCAAAGCAAGCCGTGCGGTCGAAGCCGGTAGCTCTGTTTTCAACCTCAAGATCCCTATCCTACTAGCCCTATCTTGCTTTCTCGTCGGGATGACTATTTTCGTGACCGTGGTTAGGAATATTAACTGAGTCGGGTGTCTGTTGGTTGATTTTTAATTAATTAAATTAGTTAATTAATTTGACTAATTAATATATTTAATTAACTGATAAATGATTGGTCAGTTGGTTGATTTATTTATCAACTTATCGGTCCATTGATAAATGATACGTATTTGATAGATAGATATTTTTAGCGATCGGTCAGATAAATTATGATAATTACAATTACACCCGAATAGATCATCTTGCAAGTTATTTGCTCCAAACTTTCATCTCAAAACAACGACATCAACAACATCAACAACAACAACAGCAATCTCAGTGACATCAACTTTTCTAATCCCAACAACAGCATCGGCAAAAACAACAACAACAACATCGGCAACATCAACAACAACAACATCGGCAACATCAACAACAACTTGAAGCCTAAAGACGTTGCATGTTTCAATTGGTGCGCCATTCAAAATGACAATAACACGTCAATACATTCAGAAAACAACCACAACAACAACTACAACAGCAACAACAACTACAACAGCAACAACAACTACAACAGCAACAACAACTACAACAATAATAATAATAATTACATCGTCAACAACAACAACAACAACAACACTTTTGATGGCTTATCGAAACTTGGCTGCTTGATAAAATTCTTCAATGTGGCTTTGGCCCGAGTTACCGGTTCTGGAATCGGTAATCGAATCGATCAAAAATCGGTATCCGAATGTCGAGTTGTACATCGCCAACAACAACAACAACAACAAAATAAAGAACAACACAAAATAACAGTCAGAGATAACTGTAAAATTTGCAGAAAAAAATCGTCACGTGTCAACGATGACGTCTTGATGGTGTCATCGTCATCATCTTCACCATCTTCATCATCGTCCTCATCATCCGATTCGACTCATTCGCTTTTGTACTCGCCAAAGAGATTTGAAATTTTTCGCAAAGATTCGGTTCGAATAGTTTTTTTTTCACGCCTTTTAAATTTATTTCTAATGTTTTAATCGTGAAACACGTCTTCTCATTCATTTGACAGGATTTCGTTGGAAAAAAGTTGTTCTATCAATCATATATTTTTTTTTGTTCAGTAAATGTGCAGATATATAATTTGAATACATATAATTATAATAAACTTGCAGTCCTTGGACTTCATGAACAACAAGCTGACCGTCTCACCAAAAAGATATCCGAGATCTACCACAACATCATCCAACCAGCCAGCTCACAATCAACCCATTCCTAAAATGTACAATGACGTCATTTCAAATCTGCCATCTAGTCCTCGGAGAAATACCGCTCCACGAGATCCATCTCCGTTTCACTACCGACAATCATCGATTCGTCAGACCAATCAGAACCGAATTCACGAACCCATCTCCAATTACAAGCACATCTCTCTTCCTAACTCTAAATTCGAAGCCGCTACACTCCCAAGTGGCCGTTTTTTAAAAGATGCACCCCAATATAACAGCACATCCCTAAAATACAACAGAAACTCTAACCATTTCGTCTCTAAAACTGTAAGTATCAAGGGCGAAAATTGTGATGTCGACTGGCATGGTCCGAGAAATATTTTGGGACGAAGTGGTTCGATGCAGAGTAGGGTGGCTAACCCCGTAAAGTTCAATGGGGGAAAAGTTATTGTGGAAACAAATTCCAAAGATTACTATTGGATGAATAACGTGTGATCTGTGTGTGTACGTGTGTGTGTACGTGTGTGTGTATGTATGTATGTGTAAATATTTGTATAATAAGTGTGTTCATACTAGCCGAAACAATTAATTAATTAATTAATATTTTAATTAATTAAATGTAGCTTCTATAATTAAATAATAACAAAATAATTTATTTAATTTTGTGTATATTTATTTGTTCAAACTGCTTGAATTTTAGTTAAGGACCTTTTTCAATTGTGTTCGTGGAAGTGGTACCTTCTTGATCCCTTATTGAACATCAACACCGTGCTAACTTCGTGGCACCCATGCACATTCACACATATATACACGCACACACGCACATAAAAATATATATATACAGTGACATTCCCTATTAACGGCTTTGAAAATGTCAGAGGAATCAGGTCTTAAAAGGGTTGGGTCTTAAATGAAGGGAAAGCATATTTACAACCAAATAAAAAAGGTACACAAGATGTATACATTACTCAAAAAAAACTTCGGTTTCGTCAGCATTAAAAACATTTTCAGGAGCGTAGCCTTCCCAAATGACTGGCATTCTCTTTGTCCAATCATCTACAACTTCCTCAGATACCTCTACTCTGTTTCTGGAAAGAACAGATGAAGGAATGTTGTAACGTTTCGTCCACTGATACAGCCTCCGTTATTTAGAGACATCCGTAAATTCATTGTGCCCAAGAACCCCAGCCTCAATAGCCGACTTCTTTTGGACCATGCGACAACTGATAGGCAGAGTATGACGTCGACAATCGCGAAATCACGCCAAAACAAGTCGTAAATTTTACGTTTTAATGATAATTTTTTGTGTCTTGGGTTGTGGATGGAGTCGATGATCGGGTTGGGAGTGACGCTTAATCTGAAGACAATCCATCGAGAACAAAACTGCCGGGAATGAAAGAGAGAGGGAGAGAGAGAGAAAGAAAGAGAGAGAGAGAGAGAGAGAGGTAGATGGGAAGGTCGCTGGAGAGGAGTATCACTGTATTGTTTATTTATTTGTTGTGGATTGTTAATGTATTAGACAAATTTCACATTCGTATCTAGTTCATCCGTCAAGAGCGTCTTTTATTATTACGTTCATTCGTTCATTCATTCATTTATTCATTATCCGTTCGTTCATTTGTTCATTAATTAATTCATTAGTTCATTAATTCATTTATTTGTTCATTCATTCATTTATTCATTCGTTCGTTCGATTATTTAAAAAAAAATATATTAATTTGTATTAATTGTTGCAATCAAATTTCGCAATGACGACGACGATGATGACGATGATGATGACGATGGTGATGATGGTGATGACGATGGTGATGATGATGATGACGATGGTGATGATGATGGTTTGCTATGTGCGCTGCTTACAATTTTTTAAATAATATTATTTCTTTTTATTTCGTTGCTGTTTGGTTGTTGTTGTTGTTGTTGTTATTTATTATCTTTATTTAATTATCTTTATTTTATTATTGTTGTTATTATTATTATTTTTATTGCTGATGTTGTTGTTGATGTTGTTGTTGTTAAAATTATTTTTGATTTGTCTTATTAAGCCGAGACACACGGTCTCATTGATGTTTGCATAGTTGCAAAATCTAATGACGTCATTAATGTTGTTGTTGTTGTTTATTTTTATGTTGTTGTTGTTGTCGTTGTTCTTGTTATTATGCTTAGTATTGTTGTTGTTGTTGATTGTTTTATTTGAGCCAAACGTTGTTATAATTATCTGCAAAAATTAGAAAATAATTATGAAATAATAATTATATTGATAATAACAATAATAATAATAATAATAATAGCTGACCTCTTTGATGGCCAGCCAATAGGAACTGTCGGATAAAAATAGAATCCTGATGGCGTGCACTGATTGGTTGATGTTTCTGCTAAGGTCACCCAATAAGATTCGGCCATTTTCGCGAACGTTAACATTGTCCATGCTTACGAATTTTTCTTTGTCTGTGTTTTACATTTATATTCATCATCATCATCAACGCCATAATAATAATAATAATAATAATAATAACATGAAGAAGAAGACATGAATAATAATAATAACATGAAGAAGAAGATGAATAGTAATACTACTACTACTACTACTACGACTACTACTACTACTACTACTACTACTACAACGACTACTACGACTCCTATTACTACTACTACTACTAATGCTACTATATTACTACTACTATTACTACAACAACAACAACTACTACTACTACTACTAATAATAATAATATTAATCATCATCATCATAATCATAATCATAACCTTTAGCAACAGCATCGTCGTGGAATTGTACTAGCACGGTCACGTTGTGTAGGATGTCGTTCGGGTATTCCATTGTTCCGCACCGGATCTCGTAACTGACAGTAATAATAATAATAATAATAATAATAATAATGACAAATAATAACATTAATAATGATAATAATAATGACAATTAATAAAATTGATAATGATGTTAATAATAATAATAAATAATGATAATGATAAATTCATACTCGCCTTCTTAGCGGAAGTGGATTGGTGAATTTAATGGTGATGACGTCATCACTCCGAGGTCCCCAGGCCCAGAAGAAAAATGATTGGTCGGGACTTTTGAAGTCGTAGACCTATTTGAGGATGATGATGATGATGATGATAATGATGATAATGATGATAATGACTATCACCATCATTATCATTACCGTCACCATCTTCTTCATCGTCATCAACATCATCAAGGACAATATCAACAACATCAACATTGACGACAACATCAACAACAACATCAACAACATCAACAATAACAATAACATCATCAACAACAACATCAACATCAACAACAACAGCATCAACATCATCATCATAACCTGTTGCAGTTCATGTGGGTGATTTTTTATTTTGTTGAGTGTTGTGTGTACAGTGGCCGGCGGATTTTGGCTGCTTAAAAGCGCCACTTTGTGGTGAAAGTCACGTGCCTGAATGAATGAATGAACGAACGAATGAATGAATGAATGAACGAACGAACGAACGAATGAATTCAAGCATGAACGAATGAATGAAGAAGGTAAGGAAGGAATGAATTGATGAATGAATCAGATGGTCTGCCAATCAAAATGGTAAAGTTTTTAAACGGGTGAATGAACGAATGAATAAAGGAGTGAGCACTATGGAAATGAATGAACGAACGAATTGAGGAAAATGAATAAATGAGTGGCCGATGAAAAAATAAAAAAAATTCAACATTTGGTCGTTCCAACAGATGAACACATCCGAATTGAAAAGTTCAACAAATCCGAAAAACGATGCAAAAATCTTTCAAAAATAAACCACCAGAAAACCTCTAAACACCCAATCCACGCACATCCCTAAATACCCAATCCAAGCACATCTCTGTTTATCCCCAAGCCGACACTAACCTTGATATTTTGTATCTTTCCAGCCAGAGATGAATGTAGGCCGATGTGTTGGAAGAGAGAGGGAGAGATGGTGATGCGTTTTTTGAAGGGTTGTGAACCAGGGCAAGATGAATTTTCCGACTTTTATAATAATAATAATAATAATAACAATAACAATAACAATAATAATAATAATAATAATAATAATAATAATAATGATGATGATGATAATGATGATGATGATAATGATGATGACAATGATGATGACTAACAAGGGGCACGCATGTCTCCATGGTCCCGACCACGTGATCGACCAGCCAATCACAGGGCTTGTCTTGGTAGAACATCAATAGAAATTCTATCATCAACAATAAACTGTCTTTGTTGAAAAGTTTTCCTGAATAAATGAATGAATGAATGAATGAAGGAATGAATGAATGAATGAAGGAACGTACGAACGAACAAACAAACGAACGAACGAAAGAACGAACGAACGAACGAAAGAATGAATGAATGGTACAAACCAATAAATCCCATCTTTGAAAACTGAACCATAAACCAATCTTCGTATTCTTTGCCGGTTTTACTGACGGTTTTCAACGGTTCTACTCGCTTCTCGATCTCGGTAATGTAGTTTCCGGTTGTTATGACGTCATCTTCTAACTGGGAAAAGTGGGGGAGGAGTTTAAAAAATTCAGGAATGTGCAAGTTTGTTTGAGTAATTAAACTGGTTAGTACGGTTTCAAGTATGGCTAAATTGCGTTATTATTGTTTTTGGTTGCCGTTAGGATCATCATCAATAGCACCATTATCATCAACAGCATCATCATCATCATCATCATCATCATTACTATCCAACCTGCAAATAGTATCTGCCCTTACCCCAGCAGTACATCATCAAGTAGATGTAATCCAAGTTCTGCTTTGTCCGCCACCTGACGATAATAACTTTCTCTACACACATACATACATACATACATACATACATACATACATACATACATACATACATACATGCATGCATACATACATACATACATACATACCTGTCTGTGCGAAGCGTTTAACATAGATTAAAGCTGAACCCAGATATGATTATTACTTCCCTATAGTTCTAATCAATTATGGGTTCATACATACATACATACATAAATAAATACAAACATACATACATACAAACATACATACATACAAACAAACAAACACATACGTACATACATAGCTCTTTCTTTGGGGTCACCAAGAGTGACCTCTATGCTATTGAGGTCAGGGTAAAAATCAGGGTTTGAAGCTAGGACTTGTAAGAGGCCAGATGATAAATGTTTCATAAACCTTTTGTGGTGGTGAAGAGGACGACGACGATGATGATGTTTATAGTTATAATGATGATGATGGTGGTGACTACGATAGCGATGATGATGATGATAAAAACTATGATGATAGCGATGATGATGTTTATCGAGAAGCGTTTTTTATCGATTTGTTGTTTTAATGACAAATTTGTTTAGTATCATATATTCTCTCTCTCTCTCTTTCTCTTTCTCTTTCTCTCTCTCTCTCTCTCTCTCTCTCTCTATCTCTCTCTCTCTCTCTCTCTCTTTCTTTCTCTCTCATCGTAATTGATCAAACCAGTTTCTTCAACCTTAATTTGCTTATTCGATACACGTGTTTGTGTACGGAAAATGAAATTTTATGCTGCTTTTACCACCACTGCTGCTGCTGCTGCTACAACTGCTTGCTGCTGCTGTCGTTATTATTATTATTGTTGTTGTTGTTGTTATAATTATTATTATTTTCATTGACTATCAATAATGGTTTTTTTGTGCAAATTTGAATTTTTTAACTTTGAAAAAAGTTTGTGTACTTGGCTGTGATGAGTTTCTCGACCTGCTCGACATACCGACTGCGTTCTTTCAACTTTGAAATGATGAAAATCACTGATAAATGATATCTCAGTCGTCGTCATCATCGTCATGATTATCATCATGATTATCATCAACACATCATCATCATCATCATCATCATCATCATAACCATCATCATTATCATCATCATCATCATCATAACCATCATCATTATCATTATCATCATCATCATCATCATCATCATAACCATCACCATTACCATCATCATCTTTGTCGTACTATTCATCATCGTCGTCGTCGTCAACAATTTATGCCTTTTTCCAACTTATTTTAAAAAGGGGCCAAAAAATTCACAGACCTATCAGAGCCACACATCACGTCACTTCAAAAAACTCCTCACCCACGCAACAATTACATCAATAATAACAACAACAATTATAATTGTAATTATAATTATATATATATAATTATAATAACTTACTTCCGTTATCATAACGACGATTTGAGTCTTTTCCATTTCCTCTTCATTTAAATTTTCAATCAGGCTGGTTAGGGTCTCTTCAATGTATTGATAATTACTTCGCCTCACCGTTACTATGCCAATCACTATGGTAACTTTTCCGGGGTTAATTATGTTAATTTTATGTTAATTTGTTAGTTTTATGTTAATTATAGTGCTAATTTGTTAATGGCGTGTTACTTATTGTAGTCACCGTTGGGTTTTTTCTTGGAATACAAAACGTGTGGCTGGATGAATGACCAATTGCTGGCCAGGTGTGGTAGTTGCGTTAGTAGGAGGGGCTTGTAAAACGTCGTCCTATCGTCTCCGAAACATATTCTCATCAGAGTTCTACGAGTGATTTTGATTGGCTGGTTTGAATTTTGGTGAGATTTGATTGGCTGTATGTTGCGGGTTGAAGGGTTTAAATGTCTGATTATGATTGGCTGGCTAGTGATTTTGTATGAAACTTGTTTTGCTGAAATATGTAAAACTGGAGATTGACGGATTGACGTCCACACACACAAACACACACACACACACACACACACACACACACATACACATGAACATGTACATACATTTGTATTCAACGCTTTTGAGAAATCGGTAAGATTATATCTAACATTGAATTAAATAAAATTGAAAAGAACATTTCAAAAATTAAAATCAATAACAATAATGAAAATATTAATAATAATAACGACAATTATAAATAATAATGATAAAAATAATAAAAATAATAATAATAGCAAAACAAAAAAAAACTCAAGCTAAATATAGAAGTGCATAAGCATTCAAAGTACTGTGACTGAATAGCGCTCATCCAAGCGTTTAATGTTAATGTGTAATAAAATGCATTACGTATGTTTGTTATGGCATCCGTGTCGGTATCGTATCGTTATAATTTTGTATCGTTATAATTTCGTATCAAAATCCTTTCATATGCCATCGGTTTCTTAACGAAATTGAAATGTTTTAACATATTTTCAGTTGGTTTGGTGTATCTGAAATTTGGATGAATGTAATTGACCTTTAACCTTTGACCTTTCTCTCTTTCTCTCTCTCTCTCTCTCTCTCTCTCTCTTTTGATATCTCATCGTATCGAAATCGAATGCTTGCTTTATGGCTCTGTATGACCGCATTGCCTTACAGCTATACTTGTTAACGAAACAGTGTAATTGTCAATATGGTTATCGTTATTATTATGGTATTTGCTTTGCTATGATTATTATTATCGCTGTTGTTATAATTAATAATAATAATAATAATAGTTAATAATAATAATAATTAATGATAATAAAATGTAATAATTATTATAGCACACTGATTAATAAATTAATAACAACATAATAAATAATGATAACATATTAATCAATGTACATACTAACAATACTGACAATAATTAATAATAATTATTATTATTATCATAAAAATTAATAATTATAATTATTATTATAAAAATTATTAATAATTATAATTGTAATAATTATGACGTACTCATCGTACATGTCCCAACTCATTAACTGGCTACACATAGCAGAAATCTGGCCGCGTTTCAACTCTTCAAGTTCCAACAACTCCTTCAACTTTCCGTTCAATGTGTCCATTTTGCTTACTGCTAAATTATAAAGGGATAATATTATTATTTAATTATAGTTAATAATTAACTTCTGTTACTACTACTACTACTACTACTTCTACTACTACTGCTGCTACTACTACAAGTAGTACTACTACTACTACTAATAATAATAATAATAATAATAATAATAATAATAATAAGCAACCTTTTAACATATTCTTAACAAAGTAAAACATTGTAATGGTAACGAATGGAAGTAAGCTTATTTTAAGTAAACTCGGAATTAAGGCATTTCGTTTATTCAGTAGAACTTTATTTTGGCGAATTAATATCATACTTTTAACTATTATTATTATTATTATAATTATTATTTATTAATATTAATATTATTAATTATTTTTTCATTATTATTATTATTTATAATTATTATTATTATTTATAAAACCTCAAAAATCATTACAAATGTAGACCAAAGTATTTGTTATCCATGTCTTTATGTCTCAAGCCATTCGAAGTATATATAGGTGTGTGTATATATATATACATACATACATACATACATACATACATACATACATACATACATACATACATACATACATACATACATACATACATACATACATACATACATACATACATACATACATACATACATACATACATACATACATACATACATACATACATTCATAAATACATACATACATACATACATACATACATAGCCTCCCGTTGATTTTTATGAATGGTAAAAATTTGCTTACCATGTTTTAATGCTTGTAAACATACTGTGAAACTTTTAATTATTTTGTTGTTGTTGTTGTTGTTGTGTTGTGTTGTTGTTGTTGTTGTCGTTGTTGTTGTTGTTGGAACACACCCAGATGTTGACGCATGTGGTGAGAGATGCAGAGACATCAACGCAATCCAAATGATAAAATTCGTCGTCTTTGGCGTGAAACATTGGTAGACAACAAGATGGAAGACAGTATGCTTTCTGATTCAAACTCAACATCTCAGACACTTAAAAAGTTGGAAAGTGATGGAATCAACCATAGGCTCGTTGTCTTGCCTGAAAGCCAAGTTCCCCTGATCAAGTCGGTAATAAAAGTCCCCTCACTCTGAATAAAAAAATCTTCGCAAATAACACACTGGCCAGAAAAAAAAACCTGATTCACTATCAGACATCTTATAAAAGTTAAAAATATTTAATTCAGCAGCTGCCAACCAAGGCCAATCTATTCAGATGGAGTAAGACACTCGATCACCTATGTCCTCTCTCTCTCTCTCTCTCTCTCTCTCTCTCTCTCTCTCTCTCTCTCTCTCTCTCTCTCTCTCTCTCTCTGACGCTAAACAAACAAACGAACAGACATACAGGGATATAGAGAACGACATGATATTAGATATTGGACCAAAATCGTTAATTGTTTGTTGTCGTGTCTGACATTCGCAGAAAAGGAAGGAGAACGATCAATGTTGAAACAGTTCGTCGATCTTCGTCCAGACATTTTACGGGACAGGAAAATTAAGAACGTGGAATTAATCTAGAGACTGCAAACAATTGAAATGTGTTCACACAAAATTCATGAACATTTCATGTTCAATTCATGTTCACGTTCGTTGAACATGAACATGAATTAACCTGCTGTTTCACAAAGGTGCAATCGTGTATGTTTGATGGTTGTTTTTTCTCTCTATCTCTTTTTCTCCCCTTTTCTCTCTCTCTCTCTCTCTCTAGATTTGCATCTATTTCTTTCTTACTTTCTACATATTGCTAAATTTCTTCCTCGAGATCTCTCTCTATCTTCCTTTCTATTTTTATCCTCTGTCCTGATAAGATTAAAGGTTACGGTTAAGTATGTTTTACTTGGTACAATAGATTTATTAACAAGAATGTTCTACACACACACACATACACGCACGCACACATACACGCACGCACGCACACACATACACACACGCATACATATTTATGTTTGTGTTTGATTTAGTTAGCAGCATTCAATACTTAATTATGCCATAACGGTTGGAGCAAAACGAAGAGAAGCCTTGTTTATAATGTTAAATACCCATACACGCACAAACACACACACACACATACACACGCACACACACACACACACACACATACACACGCACACACACACACAAACAAACAAACAAACACACATATGTATGTATATATTATATGCTTTAGAAAGAACGAACAAAAATGACTCAATTTATTTAATATAAGAACAAGCAGGTAAGTTTTAGAAAAATTTACCTGCGTGTGTGTGTTTGTATATGTGTGTGTGTGTGTGTATGTGTGTGTTTGTATGTGTTTGTGTGTGTGCGCGCGTGCGCACATCTTCTACATAATCATGCTAGGTAGTTAATTCTTTCAATTGTATAATATAAATGAAACCCATGTTTGCATTAAAAAAACATTTCAAAATTTCCAAGCTTGTAAAAAGTACACACACGCACACACACATGCACACACGCACACACATGCACACACGCACACAAGAATACATATACACACACATAAATACACACTTAAACACATATGCATACCTACATAATATTACACATTAAACCGTAGTAACAAACGTACCACGCACAAAAATCATGTGCTGTACTGTAAATATAAGCATACGTTAACACAGATAACAACAGATAATACACATAAACATACACAGATAACACACACACAGAACACACACACACACGTAATTACCTAGATTACTTTATGTATTTTTTTTTCATCATTGTCTTTGCTCACAAAACGACATACTCAATACTTTGCCACGGAAACTATGGAAACACGTACCAAATGATCGATATATATATATATATATATATACAAAAATATATATACATATATATACATATATATATATACAAATATATATATATATATATATATGTTTGTGTGTGTGTGTGTGTGGTGTGTGTATACTACATATACTATATATAAATACATATAATTATGTTTAATTTGTGTATTTTAAACAAACATTGCCTAATTAGGAAAAAGAGTAGAATTCGATAATTTTTGAGTGAAGCATGGAACGAGCTGCGTTTGAACCAGGTAACCTCGCAATAACATAACAGTTGGTGACACAACGGAATTTATTAATCATTTGATTTAATCGTCCACAAACTAAAATTATAACTCGGCCAGCAAAGGTAAATATTAATAGATAGATTAATGCAATATACATTGTTCGATAATCTTCAATTATAAAATCTTAAAACAAAACAAACTTCATCTAATTCTGATGTTGCTTTGAGAAACACCTTGAAATCAAAAATAATTGCCACAACATATGAACGTTTGTTTCTAGAAACATCATCAGCCATACAACCAAATCCAAATGTTCATTCAACATGTTCAATTAACATGTATTTCATTTGGAAAATTTTTTCTTCATTTTTCTAAGTTGGGATTGGTGAAAAACTGATTGATTAATATATTTAAATTCATCTTAACTGAGGTTTTTTGCATATTTTAAAAATCTATGCAATTACGTGCTGCTATTGGTATAATGTATTGTTCTTAATGTGCGCTAAATAAGTTTTTTCAAAAATCTTTTAGAACGTAAATCTGCTTTTACACCAATAATTGTAAACTTAAGTTAAGAGCCACTTGAATTAATAATGATTTTATCTTAATCAATCCCTCTCTTCACACGTAATGACATTCCTAATTTCCGGATCGAACGTGTAGAAGGATGTAATAAATGGCTAAAGAAAAGTCTAAAGTAAAAAATATCGAACTCGATTTCAAGAAAAGATGTATTGAACTTTATGCTGAAGCAGAAAGATCAGGATTTGATGCAAAAGATTTCATTTTTCAGAAAAACGGAACTTTTTCAAGTTCAAATGGTACGATTAGAAAGAATTATTCCAAAAAATGTTTAGTCATTTTGTCTTTTTTCATCATTTGCGTTGTTTTTATCGTTTATTTGTTACTTTCCGAGGAAGAACTAGTCTCTGATCTCCTTTTTGGCTACAAGAATGACCAATGCTTAATTCCTGTTTTTACTTCGCTACTTTTGCCACCTGTCGATTGTTCTTTGTGTAGAAATGTCAAATCAGTACAAAAATTGAGTGGGATTTCACGAGAAGACTTTGAAAAGGTTTATGCTTACACTGGAAGGCCAGTAATAGTTACAGACGCCACTCTTAATTGGACGGCCACAAAGACTTTCAGTTATGATTATTTTTCAGATCTTTATTTGAAATCAACATCGACCAACCAGTCAATTAAATGTCAGTTCTTTCCTTATGGCACTAACTTCGACAACTTGACTGATTTTTTGAGTCGGGGTTTAGGAAATAATGATAATAAAGTTCCTTGGTATGTTGGCTGGTGAGTATTATTTGCTTATTAATTAATTGCAATTTAAATTTAGAAATATAGAGTTAGTTATTTCACAACTTTAATAAACTAATTTTCATAAAATATAAAAAAAAATATATTCTAATAACAATTTTTTTCTTTTTAGGGGGAACTGCGACTCAGATGTTTCTGATGAGTTGAGGCAGCATTACTCTAAGCCTTACTTTCTACCCGAATACTCAGAATCTTCAAGACTCGATTGGATTTTCATCGGCCAGCCAGGATTCGGTGCACCAATGCACGTATGTAAATTAGTAATTATAGTAATTATGTTAATTGGTGGTTATAATAATAATATAATTATAATATTAGTAGTAATAATATTGTAGATGAGATAATTATTAAGACAATAATAATAATTAAGTTGTTTTTAATAATAGTGACCTATTGTAGTATTGATAATATTCGTAAATATTTATTTTACAATAATAATATTTAATATCTTTAATATTTTATTTTAATTATTTTTTCTGTAACAGCTCGACAACGTGGGCAATCCTTCGTGGCAGGCCCAAATCAGGGGATCTAAGTTGTGGACATTGGAACCGCCCTACGAATGCTACCTCGAATGTGATTGGTCAGTTCAAGTCGTGGTGAATCCAGGAGAAATTAGTGAATATTTTTCGTTTTTTTTCCACTATAGTCAAAAACATCAAAATTTCAATTACAGCTATCATAATTATAACGATATATATATAAAAATAGTAATAATAATTGTTAATTAGTATTATTATTATTATTGTTTTTACAGTTGTCCTTGACACAAACGTTTGGTATCATGGAACGAAAATTGTTGGGGACGATATTAGCATCACCATTGGATCAGAATATGACTGAGAGAGAGAGAGAGAGAGAGAGAGAGAGAGAGAGAGAGAGAGAGAGAGAGAGAGAGAGAGAGAGATTCATATACTTTATAATTTATTTTACTCTTCTTACCCAAATTTGCGCTACAAAAATTTATTTACATTCTTGGAGCTACATGAATTTGATTTGAACCACTACCGCCATTAAAATGATCGCTATTTTCCCGCTAAAAATTTACAATTTACATCTAAACAGGTTATTTTCTAAAAATCTGATTTTATTTAAAGCTTATTAAGTTCTTATCATATTTAACCTTGTACACACACACGCACGCACGCACACATACATACACATGCACACACACACACGCGTGAATATATATATTGTGGATTTTGTGGCAAATCAAAGGCCTTATTGTTTGATCAGCAGACAGAAAGCAACGAATGATTGACTGATGATAATTATGTATTTATTCATAAATTTTTAAATAAATATATAAATAAATATTATATCGTGCGTTGGTTATGTTATTTAACAATAATAATAATAATATAATAATTATCTGTATTCATGGTGATAATAATGTTTTATTAATGTTATTGCTATATTTATACTTATAATATTAGGAAGATAGGTTAATTGATTGTTTGATAAAACGAACGAACGAATGAATGAATGAACGAATGAAAGAATGAACAAAACGAAGAAAAATGATGGATCGGGTGGATGAATGAACGAATGAAGGAAAGAAAAGAAAAGAAGAGGTAATACATAACGCGAGCATATAAAAGCGAAATAAAATTATCATTATTATCCCATATTGCACTTATTATTATTTTATTATTGTTGTAGTAGTAGTAGTGTTAGTTATTATTGTTCTTGTTGTTGTTATTATTGTTGCTATTGTTGTTGTTGTTATTACTATTATTATTATTCTTTTTTTGTATTTCAATCGTCATGATGGAGAAAAATGTAAGCCAGGAATTAAGAAAATGTACCTTACATAAAAAAATGGATGGATGGACGGATGGATGTAAGAAGGAGTAAATGAATGAGTGATTAGATGAGTGAGAGGATAAATGGATGATTGAATGAAACAACAAAAAACGGTTCATTAAGTGATTGATTGATTGATTGATTGATTGATTGATTGATTGATTGATTGATTGATTGATTGATTGATTGGTTAATAAAAGACAAGAACAAATATTAAAAAAACTCACCTCTAAGAAATGCTTTTACAATCTATCAATGTTTACAAACAGTTTTTAATGACGATAATAACAATAATAATCATCATCATTTTATAAAAGGCAGTGGTGTTGATAATGATCACGTTCCTAATTATAATAATAAAATAATAATAATAATAGATTTCATTAAACATGATGTTACATCATCAACCTGTGTAAAGTGAAAATAGTAATATGCTAGCTATGTTGTTGTTGTTGTTGTTGTTATCCTGATAGTTGTTATTATTATAGTTGTTATTGTTATGGTTGTTTATTATTATAATTATTATTATAATTGTTTTTGTTGTTGTTATTATAATTAACGGTATAATAATTATTATTGGAAGACGAAAGATGACTTGATGGGTTGGATGAAGAAATGATTAAAAACCAAAAAAAAATGTTATAATTATAACGTCTGGGAAGGAAAGAAAGTGAAAAATGGATGAATGAATGAGTGAAAGAATGAGTGAATGAATGAATGAATGAACGAATGAGTGAATAAGTCAATGAATGAATAAACGAACGAATATACGAAGAATCAAAATTGTATAAATATTTAGCTGATGAATGAAAAAAGATAAAGAGAAAGAAAAAATTTGAAGGAAAAAAACAGCTGAAAGAATGAAAGTCTGTAACTCTAATACAGTTTCAATGTTGAACTAAAAAAGTAAAAAATATAAACAAACACACACACACAAACACACGCGCGCGCACGCACACGTACACACATACAGAAAGTTTTGAAGAACGGATGATTTATTCATCCTATATCACGTAAAAATATCATCAACAATAATAACATGCCTAATATTGCGAAAGAAAGAGAGAGAGAGGGAGAAAGAGAGAGAAATATGATTTTGAAATGCAAACCAAACAGAAAAACATTGAAGAAATAAATGATTGATTAGAAAATTGAATAGAGATGGAGAGAGGAGAGAGAGAGAAAGAAAGAAAGACAAAAAAAGAAAGAAAAAATTGTAAAGTAAAAAACAAAATATGGAGAGAGAAAGATAGCAGGAAATATACAGAAAAAGGCAAGAGAAAAGAAAGAGAAATAGAGAGAGAGAGAGAGAGAGAGGTCACGTGTGACTCGTCATTAACCATCTGCTGACTCGATCCAACCTCAATTTAGTTTCCGGATCAGGCCGTTGTTGTTGTCGTTCGCCAGCAACGTTCGCGGTCGTCATTAGCTCATTCGAGTTGTCAGGATCGTTTGATTTCAGCTTTCTTGATCGTCGGCGAGTTGATGTCTTTGAGTCGTTGTAAGTGTTGCTGTTGTTGTTGTCACTGTTGTTGTTACCATTGTTGTTGTTGTTGCCACTGTTGTTGTTGTTGCCACTGCTGTTGTTGCAGTCATCGTTAGTGAAGTTGTTGTTGATGCCGTTGTTGATTGCTTGGTGGCTGTTGAAATATCATGGTTGCTATCATTAACGTTATCGTGAGTGTTGTTGTTGTTGTTGTTGTTATTGTGGTTAATGTTGTGAATGTCACGACCGTGTTGTCGCTCTCTGCCTTCATCGTCCAGATAGAGAAGGTTGTGGTGGTGGTGATGATGATGGCATCGATGCAATGATACTGACCTCGATTCACTTTTAGTCGGCGAAGATCTCTCATTGAGGCTGGCGCCGTTTCGAAAGACGTCATCATCGAAGATCGGTGAGTGTAGGGCGCCGGAAGTTTTGAAGGGCGCGTTTTTATACTGATCGTAAAATGTGACAGTCGATTTATTTCTTTGGTGGTAGCAGTTGCAAGTTTGAAAGTTATTATCATCCGCCATGTTGTTTTTTGCGAAGAGCTTCTCGTTCCCGGATGTCGGATAGTTAACCCGGTTCAGGGAATGGCACTGCGCCGAATCGAACGACGTAAATGAAGATGGAGGTTTACTCGAAGTGCAGGCTAGCGTCGACTCGGGACCTGTCACATTCCTGCTGCTTCCACTCACGCTACTTCCGGGGACATTCGACCATCTGGAGTTCAGATAGCGAGAAAGTGATGAAACTTCCGGCCGTTTTTCTGGTCTAGGGTCGAGAAATCTGTGGAAAAGTTTCTGTAGGGATGGGCTGAATCGCTTCCAGTGCTCAGGAACTGTGGCCGATTTTTTGGACTGCCACCGTGCAAAACTGCAAAGAAATGCGTTGCAAACATTACGCTACAAACAAGCAGCACATTACAATACAACAAATTACACAAGAGCACATTACGAAGCAACACATTACACAACAACACAAATCATTTCATTTGTGTGAAAGTATTTGAGTTATGCCAGACGATTGTTAATAAGCAATATTTGACATGGTAAAATGGAAATAAAAATCTGCGAAAATATATCGAGGAGAGGAATTTTACTTTGTTTCATTGGTACTTAGGTGTGTCTATATATCATATTTGTATTTGTGTTTGTTTGTGTGTTTGTGTGTGTGTGCGGTGCTTACATTCCCACATACGTACATACAATATACATTAGGCTTCTACACATACATGACGATGTTTTTGTTGTAATGTTATTTAAAATACAACTGCACCGATTTTAAGTTGAACAACACGGAGAAATGCGCCTAGCTTAGATAGATAACATTTGTAATTTGTTTCTATGTCTCTATACGCCTGTATTGCAAATCATTTGTTAATTTCATTCGTTCGTTCATTCATTCATTCATTCATTCTTTCTTTCGTTTGTTCATTCGTTCGTTCGTTCGTTCGTGCATTCATTCATTCATTCATTCATTCATTCTTTCTTTCTTTCTTTCTTTCTTTCTTTCGTTCGTTCGTTCGTTCATTCATTCATTCTTTCTTTCTTTCGTTCGTTCGTTCGTTCATTCATTCATTCATTCATTCACCAATCCAACGAACCAACCTCTGAAACAAGGGATCTCTGTTGATGTCGGCTTGCTGCCAGGGGAAGCTACCTGTCATGAGGCAGAAGACGAGTACCCCAGCGGACCACACATCGGCAGATTTGAGGACCTTGTAGTGCGAGTGGCGGGTGAGGAAGCAGATTTCTGGGGGCGTGTAGGTCGTTCCCTCGCACACCTTGCACACCTTCGTGCCCACCTTTCTCGCCACACCGAAATCTCCGAGTTTGACTCGAGTCACGTTCTGATCGTCCGATTGGTTCTTGTGTTAGGTGGTTAATTTGAAATTTTTTAATTTCGAAATGTATGCTACAAAAGTACAGAACCGAGCTTCGCTACGTTGCAATGCTTTAGGTAGCTGGCACTACAGATGGAGCAGTGGCCGAGTTTGAATGTAAGTGAAAATTAAACTTTCATTTTTAAAAAATGCTTACTTGAAAAACTAAAATATTTTCAAGTTTGAGGTCCCTATGGACGACTCCAGCTTCATGGACGTACTGCACGGCCCCCACCAACTGCCTCATGACCGACTTGACGGCCACCTCGGGCAGACCGACCCGCGGTGGCACCAACCTCAACAAATCGCTCATAGGAGCGTACTCGTGCACCAGAACAAACCAGGCATTGGTGACGTAGGCAGTGGAGAAAGTTTCGAGAACGCCAGGATGTCTCGAGAAGAGTCGACCGTATCGAAATTCAATGCAGAAATCTTCTATCTTTGTTTTGTCTTTGGCTAATTTTTTTAGAGCGACTTTCTTTTGATCGTTAAGTCGAAGAGCCAGGAAAACACTGCCGAAAGTACCGCTGCCAATTTTGCGGATGATGTTGAAACGGTCAGTGAGGTCGGCGAGGTAGCAGATCTTCTCGTCTCCACGTCCGATGTCCAGTTGTTGTCGGACCAACCAACTGTTTCTCGAAATGCTGGATGTTTTGTTTCTGCAGTTGTTGCCGCTACCACCACCGCTTCTCATGTAGTTATGGTGGTCGTCGTTAATGTCATTGTTGTTGGTGATGGTGTTAGGGTTGAAAGCGGCGTTTGTAAAATTTTCTTCGAGGCGATGGTTTGGTTTAGATGGAGATTTTTTGTATCGCTTTGGTGTGCATGTTGATTTTGAATGAGTATTTGATTCTCCGTCAATGGAATATTCTTCCTCATCGCCATCGGATTCTTGGCAGTTTTTGTTGTAGTAACAAGGAATGCTTCTGGGGTTGGAGGTTTTCGTATTGTTCTGGCGGGGGCGATTGTCTGCGTTGTTGCTGCTGTGGTTGTTGCTGCTGTGGTTGTTGTGGTTGTCGTAAACCCCATCGTCATCGTCGTCATCCTCCTCATCATCATCCTTAAACAAGCCGGACAAACAGTTGAAGTCCTCTCTTGTTTTTGGTTTAACGGATTTATTCACCGCAGTTTGGTCAATTTTTGACGATAACGACGTTAAAGATGGCGACGACGACAAATGACCCGAGGTTGAATTTTTCTTGGCATGAATCTTACGTACCTCCCCAATGGTATCGTAAACATTATCGTTTCGTTTCGTTTGCTTTTTACTCCGTCTCGGTTGACTGGCAGTGCAAATTTTAGTGCTGTTACAATCAGTTACATTCTCTTCAACGCTCGTCATATCACTGGCTTGGTGGTGCGTGTTCAGGAAGTCATAATTATTATTATTATTTTTGCTGTTGTTATTTACATTTTTATTGTTATTATTATTATTATTACTTTCGTTTTTTAATCTCATACTAATGCCAAAGTTATCCGTACAATTCGGAGCTTTCGCAGCTGCACAATCATTAATATTTTTACTATAATTCACATTATTATTATTATTGTTATTATTGTTATTATTGTTGCTGTTATTATTATTGTTGACCGTATTTGTGGCGCAACCTAGAAACTCGAAACCTGATTGGTTGCCGCAGAAGAGATGGTCGTTTGGGCTTTCCGTTCTAGTCTTGCCACATATAACCAACTTCTCCATCGTTTCATGATCTGGTTATGGTTATCATTTTTATTATTATTATTATCATCATTGTTACTATTACTAATTTTAATGTTGTTTCAAATGTTAATTTGTAGTACTTACTGTTCTTCACTAACATTCTTAATGCTATTTATTGCACTTTGTTTTAATGTTTTAATTTAAATGTTTTTTTTAATAAATCGATGATGACGACGACGATGATGGTAGAATAAAGATGATGATGATGATGATAACGATGATGATGATGATAACAATGATGATGATGACGATGATGATGATGATGACGACGATGATGATGATGATGGTGGTGGTGT